ATGGGCTTGGTCATGGTTGTTATTGAGGGATTCTAGTTGCATCCCCATTACTGTAGAGTATCTTGATGAGAGCTTGTTTTCCTGAATCTTCCATGAATTAATTGTCCAAAGTTAATCAGAAGTAGCATTAAAGCCTTCCTGTTATTGGGTAGTATAAAAATACAATAAATAAACCATAAATAAACAAATTCTGGTACAGCTAGAAGGCACTCATCTCAAAAACAGTTACTTTCAGTGTTTGGCTTTAAGCCTCAAGGCACATTGCATCACCTCCAATGCCAGAAGCAAAACACCAAGCCAAAATACCTCTGCTTTGCACAGGCTAGTTGCTTGCCCAGACCATTCTCTAGATCAGAGGTAGAGTGCTCCTGCAATTAAACTAGGAATTAGTGCTTGAAAGGCAGAAATATGTGGGTCCCTATGTAACATGTTCTCTATCATTCTACTTTGTAGAGGAAAGCCATCTGCTTGAAGGGCTATGTATCATACTGAGGAGATAGTGTCAGCTGTCAACCCACAATGTAATTCTGGACAGCATCTCAGAGTGATGCTTACAGGTTAGTTAACTGGATGGCCAGTAAGAAAGTGTAGAAAGTAAGGAAGATGACAGAAATATTCAAGAATCATTACCTAGGTAAAGGGCGCTGAAACACTTTATAAACACCAAGAAACAAGATAATATTTGGAATCAACTCAGGCAGATGCCTCCCTGATTCATTGGAGTATAATAAGAGGGAGGGGAAGATACAGCATAATCAGTCTTGCAAGATTCTGTCATTATAGCTAATATCAATAAAAGTAGTCCTGGTCTTCCTGTGGGGTTGATTTCCTGGTGTGGTCTACCTATTGGGGTTGACAGAAAGTCAGTGACAGTACTACAACCACCAAAGAAAAGGTATCAGTGAAAGAGGGCAATTGTATAGGAAGCAACAGATCCTCTTCCCATCTTAGGTAGCCATAGCTTTAGCTGATAGAACTTGGGCTGTTTTTGGAGTCAGAACACTATGGCTTGTTCAACAAACCATTTTAAAACAATTAAATAATTAAATAGTAGAAATTATAAAATACCTTGAAGATGCTAACCACAAATTGCTTTGCTGCTTACCACAGCCATTGCTCACCAAAGGAGCTCACCCAGGGGCACCATGTCTGGAAAAGCCCTTAATCTAGAGATGCACTGGGACAAATTCCCTCAAGATGCAGGCATTCCCTAATTTATTATCTAATTTAAGAACATAAAATTTACTTTTCATAATTCAATCCACCTTGTTATAGATTATGCCATTACTTTTTCCCCAAATATATTGTGTGGACTGATGTCCACACACTGTATAAACAGCAACCTTGAAGTTATAGAAGTAAGAGTGGCAAGATCTAGGTCATATGCAAGGCAGTTGTTAATCTTGCTGGAGGAAGAAAAACATGTGAACTGATTAAAGAGGAAAACAAAACAAAACCAAAAAAAGCTTTAATCAGTGTAACTGTCAAGCTAGTGCAACTCTAAAGTCCTTGGTTTAGACAGAAACATCACACAGACAAGAAATTTATTTCTGGCTAAACACAAAGAACCCTACATTTTCTTTTTAAGTATATTTGAAAGCACAGCACAAAATATGTTCCTTTATTGAAAAGAAAGGCTCAGGGTGGATATTTTTAAACATTTCCAGCTTTGCCAATTTGTTGACAAAATGTGAACTATTATGGAGTTGTGTCCCTGTGGCTTGTCATGTCAGTTATTATATTGAAAAATTACTTATAAAAGGGCTTTGACACTGAACTTTATAAATTTGTTCCAACTGACCTTGCCTCAGTTGTTTGCCATTCTAGCACACTGTTATTTGCCTTGTGCCACAGTAGAAAATACTGCGGCAAAAAACCTGACATATTATGTGCTCACAAATAAAGAATCAGCTTTAAATGAAGAAATCAACATGCTTGTCTCAAAGCCCATATTCTTTCAAGCATATAAGGTTTGCTTTCTGCAGGATTATTTATACTGTAGTCTGTTTGCATGTATTTGTTTTCTCTTAATTCAGTGAAAATGAACATTTAGACATATTAGTAAATTATCCTTCTTTTCTTTGCATTGTTTAAGCTTACAAATTAATCTGCAGTTTCCAGAATTATTATATCTAAACTAATATTGTGGCTATATTGTCAATCGATTACTGTCCCCAAAACATAGCCACCCTCCTTCTACTGCTGCTTTTCTTTCCTTTTCTTTTTTTAAAATTTTAATTTGAGGGAAAGTTATGTGATGTTCAGTTTTGGATTTTTAATTGGTCCAATTTTAGCTTGCCCCCCTCCACCATTTCTAAACTAGAGTGATTATCACTAACAATAATAGCATAACAAATATTGTTCATAATGCATGTATTCATAAAATGGGTTTTTGGTCGAGCATCACTTTTGCTTTTCATGGATTTGTCTGATTCATTATATTCACTTGATCTGGTTGAATGGGCTATAATACCAACACAGGGCTGGAATGCTGATCATGTCTTTATTCTGTACAATAGTGCATGAGTATTTCCTAGCAGAAGATTGCTAAAATTTGGATGCCAAAGCAGTGGGACTTGAGCATATCTGCCAAATCCTAGGTTTTCATACTACTAAAGAATCTGTGCCATCTGCTTCTTACAGTATTGAGAAGTTACAGCTTCTCTGATGGCTGTCTTGTGCAAAAGACTGCATACACTCAATCCTTTTGTGGTTTGTGCTATACATTTGCTTTGTGAAAATATACCTGCACCAAGGTATTGAGGAGAGATAAAAGTACATCATGTAGAATTCTGAAGCAACTTGATATTGTTTAACTCCTACTGACTTAGCATAATTCATATCCTCAGTGATGGTATCATGTTGGATGATGTATTAGTATGCAAACATTGATTATGGTAACATACAATATAAAAAAGCCATGCTATCCATAGTCAGCTGGGTTCATGCACCATATTAAACCAAAATGTGTTTGGGGTCTATCATGTCATATGAAGCCAGCCTTTGTGGTTTGGTTTATGGATTAGAATATTATGTGAACCCAGCAAGTTATGGTTTATCTAATAAATCATGGTTAAACAAACCCTGACTTAATACCATGTATATACCAGATCTATAAATACAGTGAGAATGACCACAGAATTGGAAATAAGTTACAGGAACGGAAATGGTAATTAGGATATGTAACTAAGAATCACATACATTAGAAGATAATAGCAGTAGAACTGAATTTAATTAGGTTTTTTTTTAAATTGCAGAAAATACTACTTTTGTTTCTAAGTCCATTTATTAATGAACACTTTTTAATGAAATTTTATGTTTATGTTTTATCTTAGACGTCTGGATGCTAACCATATTAGCTTCATACCTCCCAACTGTTTCAGTGGCTTGGTGTCATTGAGATACCTGTGGCTAGATGACAACTCTCTGACTGAAATTCCAGTACAAGCTTTCAGGAGTTTGCCAGCGCTGCAGGCAATGACACTCGCATTGAACAAAATCTACTACATTCCAGATTATGCTTTTGGAAATCTCTCCAATTTAGTAGTGCTGTAAGTTTGTATTTGGTTTCAAACATAACATTTAATTAATTTTCAAGAACTTCAGCTGTTGGCTTCATGAAATGATTTGTTTAATATACAAATATACACCTAGTTCTTTTAGTAGAGAAGCAAATATTTAAGTCCAAAACCTGGTTAATGAAGCCCACTAAATGCTAGTATGAGGCAGAAGAGCCTGAGGCTATAAATATTGATGTTTATTTTTGTATATTTGTATATACATTGTATATTTTAATTTAGCCATATATAACTGTTTATAAATAAGCTTTGTTTGCAGTTTAATCCTGAGATTAGCTGCATTAGAAAGTAAATATTTTGGGGTATAGTAGTTTTGTCATTTTGCTGTCTCATTTCAAAAATCATTGTATCAAAAAATGCTATAAATGTGCAGAATGAAAGGATTCCAACCATAAGTCTATTGGGATTGATGTGATCAGGATCAAACTTTCCCAGTCTCTCTCCCCCTATCCCCATTGCACTTAGATTGGGTTGCTGCACTGGTTTGGAGCAGGAATATTAACATTTTTCAGTGGAATGCCCTGTCTGCATGTTAAAAAAAAATTGGGAACAGGATAAAATTTAAAATGAATTAATTAAAATGAAAGTGCATTAAGTATAGTAACCATGATTTCTTCCCAAGTATTTAATGGTTTTTCCCTTCTGTTACATAAACATTTACAGTTTTATGGCAGTTTTGCTTTATTGGCAGAAAGGGGAGATATACATAAATTGTAAAACCAAGTAGAAGCCTAAAATATTGGAGAAACATTCAGTGCTGCATTAACCCTTAAGAATCATGTGTGGTCTTGACTTAAAGGCTTGCATGTTTAAGTTACTTATGGAATCCCTGCACTCCAGTGTTATGCAGTATTTCATTATGCTACATGTGTTGGATTTGGGATACATAGGCAATCAAAATGGCCTATTATAACAGGGACAGGGAGTAGTATGCATGATAGAAGGATATGATTCTGATCTCACAACTCACATTTGCTCAAAAATCTGAAAATAGATTCTTGTAAGTAATAGGATCCCTTGTGTAATGCTTTGCTGTACACTTTCTCATTTGACATGTGCAGGATATAAGAAATATTTTAAAAGAAGTAAATGAATAAAGAAATACTTGTTATTTAATAACAATATATCCAGATGGTTCAATTTCAAACACTTAGTGATCTCCATAGCCCAGATATTTAGTTATTTGTTCTTCACTCAATTAACAAGAACAACTTGCAAAAAAGTCAATGGCAATGTCTCGGCTCTTTCGCTGTCAACTTTTTATATGATAGGCCAAGATTTTGAAAGCTTCTAACTGGAGGGAAATGTCCTGGTGGTATTTGTTTCACTGGCCTTTTGAATGTTTCAAGGGACCACAACACATTGTACTTTAAAATAATTAATTTGGAGATGGTAGGGAGAACAAATTTCTGTGGAACAACCATCTTGACTTAGGGGGAGGGCTCAGTAGCTCTAATGACCCTGAGAATGGCACTGGTAGAAGCTTCAGCTTCTGGTACATTCATCCTTGCTAGTAAAGTCAAAAAGGTATTAGGAGTGATCTACAGTGGAGATGAGTGCTAATGATGCTTTGCTTGCTTGAGGGAAGCAAACACACATTGGAGAAGATTCTAAAACCAAACCCAAGGAAGGCAACGGCAAGCCCCTTTTGTGTGGTTGCTACTGTACGGATCTGGTTGTAATATTTAGGCAATTATGGGTGCTAAATTATAAGATTCCAAGGTTGAAAAGCACTACTAAGGATGACGATGAAATTTCCATGAGTACATTTGAAGATGATAGCTTTGCCACCTTTACATTACAGATGTAGAGTTGGGTACTAAGAGTACCATGGACTGCAAGAGGAACTAATAAAGATTGTTCTCTTGAAGTGGTGATCAGCAAACAAAAACTCACAGATTTTGGGCATGTGAGATGATGGACTAGAAAATATCATTTTACCTTGGCAAACTTTAAATAAATATAAAAAGAGAAAGACATTAGATAAGGTGCTTAGATAGGATGATAGAGATTACTGGAATGACTTTGAAAGAGCTGCAAGTTTTACTGGAGATAAGTAATGTGAGCATTTGTACGCAGAATGGAAATTGAGCCTGACTCAAGGGTACCTAATTAACTTTGTAAGAAGACTAAAGAGCAAGAAAGCACTTACTCATATGCTGAGGGGTAGATAAGAAAGGAATATGAGCAATTTGAGCTGGGGAAGCCACAAAAATAGAAATTGTTCATTTAAGCACTTTAAAGAGCCAAGTGAAATTGCAAATCAAGAACAATGGGTACAATATATTCTGTACTATTCAAATATTTGTGAAAAAATGACTTCATAAGTCATGGGAGGACAGAAGTAATTTATTTAGGTATAGCCATTAAAATGTTTTTCCTTAGTCTACTGTCTATAAATATTTTTTCCTTTATATTCTGAATGGTCTGCTTCAGGCATCTCCATAACAATAGAATCAACTCCTTGGGAAAGAAATGCTTCCATGGCCTCCATAGCCTAGAGACTTTGTGAGTTGACTTTTTATACTCTTTTTTCAGTGTTTCCATTGACATTCTGCAAATATTTTAAAAAAAGAAAGCCTAAATACACGTTTTAAATGTCTTAAGGCTGCACTCCTATGCACACTTAAATAGAAGCTAGCCCTCCTTATTTTAATAGAAATTTATAGGATTGCACTGTATGTTAACTTTTTATTTTGTAGACGATGGGTACCTGAAAAGGCTAATGGATATCCATGAAGAGAATAATCAATATCTCTCTGTGGGTAATCCTTTCAAATTCTTAAAGTATTAATCTTTGAAAGATTTGGCCCAGATTAGACTACAGTTTTGTTCATATTTGCAAATACAGATTTCACATATGTGGTTTTAAATTGCAAAGTGTAGCAGTGTCTACCATCATGGTGTGAGCTTGCAAAAAACATGTTTCTTTTTTTCTTTTAAAATTAATTTAGTAAACTGACATGAACTGTAAGAATGATAGACCATAACTTATTTTGAAGAACTCTGTCAAGAATATGAATCTAAAGTTGAGGAGGACAGATTAACCAAGTACAATATAACAATAAATAAAACGATTAAGTAATAGCAAATATCTATTATATTTATAAACCTTTGTTGAGTTCTATAAATATAAAAATCTAAAAGTGCAGTGCAAAATAGATAAGCTCTTTCCTTTTAAGTATGAAGATTAGATAGTATGTAATTTATCTAATGTGGGGTGTTGTTGTTTTTTTAATTCAGAGATTTAAATTACAACAATCTGAATGAATTTCCCACTTCTGTCAATGTCCTCAGAAACTTGAAAGAACTGTGAGTACTGAAATTTAGGGCTTCAGCTCCTCAGTTTCCAGTGTTCATTTTGATTCATATAAGTACAGACAGATTTATCATCACAGCTCTACAGCAAAAATCACTGCCTATTTTTCTGCTTCAGAATATTCATTTCATTTCATTTCAGCTTTGGTAGACGTCGTTTTTTTCCAACCTTGTAGTTCTAGTTGTCTGGAAAGCAAATGGAGGGAAAAATTATAAACAAACAGCATATTCTGGCATGTTGTTGAGGTTGTCTGTATTGTGGAGTATTTGCTCAGTGGGCTAGTACAACTCTCAGAATTTTTAATGCAATATCCTTGAAAATATTAAATTAGATTAATATTAAATATTAGGGATATTCAATAAATTATCCTTGAAATACATTACTTAAAATTAATTAAAATAAATTAAACATTTATTTAACAAAGAACATTTCTAGAGAAATTTGCAATATTAACCATGTTTGCTTTATCTCAGTCCATACTGATATCTATCATTTTGTCTCTGGATAATACTAACTAGCTATTATAATTTGTAGTTAGAAATATAAATTATAGTTTACAAACTGAATCTGGTTTCTGATATCTAAAACTGGGATCGCCAAAATGGGTCCACCTACCTCTTCTTCCCAATATTATTCCAATATACCCCAAAGTGTCCTGCTAAAAGCAGGGCTCCTTTGTTCTATGGAGAGGAGAGTTAGAGTAAACACACTATTTCCATTAGACTAGTTGTGTGTGGCTGGCAATGCTTACAAAGCAAAAACACTTGCTTTGCAAGTGCCTGAGGTAGAGGTTGTCCAAATAACATTGTCCAACTTTTTTCTTTCACACAGAATCTGTTAAGGGAAAATGATTAAATGGTTACAACTCCCACATACACACATACATACAGAGAGAGTATTTAATGCAGAGAGAAATGCATGTTTGTGTAGATAGAAAGAGAAAGAGAAAGAAAGATGGTAAATTTGTCTAAGTGAAAACAACAGATCCTGGGTAAATGTTGATTAATTATTGTTTTTTTAATATTGTCAAGGTTAGCCAACCTATTATACTAAATATTATTATTCCAGTAAACTACAGTCTTAACCATGAAAAACCATGGAAAAAATATGAATATTTGTTCTAAATATGATCCTTTGGATCACAGTGTATCAAGATCATGGAAGATTATGGCAGTAAATGAAACTACGTTTAAAAAAATCTTCAACAATCCACATATTCAAATGTTATTTGAGTACATGTCACCATCAATAGAGATCCAATAAATAGGGATCCAAGAGATACAAAGCTATGAAAAACAACTTTTATGAGCAATTGAAAATATTTCTAGAAATTGGTAAATAGATGAGGTCAGAAAAGTTATTAATAGAGGTCTAGTTTGGTGTAGTGGTTAAGATGTTGGTATAGAACCCAGGAGACAGTGGTCCACCATCAGCCATGTAAAGAGCGGGTGACTTTAGGCCAGTCACACACTTTCAGCTCAACCTGTAGAGAGCACGTGCACTTTGACTCTTTTCCTGGTAGAATGTACATGTTAGCCTTTGTCTATTTGTATAATGTATTTCATGTACTTTTCTATTGTGGTTATAAAACCTATTTCACTGATCATTGCTCAGATCAGATTCCCACTCACAGTCACAGACACACAGTCTGTTACAACTTCCAACCATTTCTATTCTGGCATTCTCACCTTATCTCTATATAGAGCCCATCTGGGTTTTTTTCAGGGGGAGGGAGTATACCAGAAGGAACAAGCATTCCATTAGCATCTTCACTTGCTTGCATGCAAGTAATATAAATGTAATCTAAACTCTGCTATCCAGTTGGGCTTCTGTGTAGTGAAGTTATTCAGTACTGAATAACTGAATGTATAATACAAATTGGGAAGGATGATGCCAGTAAAACTTTTAAATTTCTCTTCTCCTTCCTCTCACAGTATCTCCCCAATCGTCCTGCTGAACTGATTTATTTATTTACATTGGTAATTTTTTTATATCACTTATCTCTTTGAATAGATTTCAATGCTCTACATGAACCTTAAGCTAAATTTGCTCCTAAAACCTGATATCTTTTCACTTGACCATGACCAGCTTCTTGATCATGACATGCCTTTTAGGTTTATATTCTTGTTTAATGTTCCTTTATACATTATACACTAGCGAAAGGTTTGCTAGGGCTTTTTAGCAGTATATCTCTGAATGTTCATATGCAAAAATTGATCTCTTGTGTTTACATAAATTCTACAGATTAAAGTTAAAACAATAAGCAAGAGCACGTGCAGGAAGAAAATAAATGTAACAGATATGCATGACACAACCATTTCTCTTATTCTTGCATTCCCTCTTTTCTCCTGCCCTGTATATACAAGCCAAACCACCTGCCCATCGTATTCTTTCCCCAGTCTGTGTGACCTTACGCTCCTTCCCTCGCCTTCTTAAACATGTAGCCATCTATAAGGAAGCTGTGATTATCAATCTGTACAGGACTGAATTGCATATGTGGGACCTAATACTTTCCCATATGGGCAACAACCAACCTCTGCACATTTGAAGTTTGTCATTATTAGACATTGAAGCCAACTTATTTCTGCATTGTTGGTGAGTAAGTAATATCCATGCTCATTTCCTGAGCTGAAGCAAATTTTTCTGCTGTATGACTTACTTTCCCGCTGCAGAATAGGAAGCTGATGATAAATTATTATGGGCATTTTTTAAATATACAGGTGTCTGCAAATATAGACAATATTACACTCTGTTTCATTGTTCATTTTCACTTTGTTTTCGTCCAGAGATATTGTTTTCTTGTGCAATCAATTTCCATAGACAGCCATTATATAGTCACTAATAGCAGCAGCCCAAACAATGAAGAGAGTTTAGTGAACCATCCAATATTTCAGGTTAAATCTGGGTGACTTTGTTCATACCTCAGTGAAAAAACAAATATTTTCCATGCAATCATTGCTATTGATGTTAAAACTTTAGTGTTGCTTTTGTTCTAGTACTAGATTATTGTGCACGTAGATAATACATTTCAGTTAATTTGGAAACAATTTGCTTAGCTCTTAAATGAAAGTAATTACATTGTCATTTTAAAAACTTACATATAGGAATACTATGAAAAGCCAGTATGTACAAGATGCCCTGAGACTGTACATGTGTTATTCATATTCATTAGCATTCTTAATTAAAGCAAATTTACTTGGAAATATTATTGTTTAGTTTGATTGTGGTTATTGTTGTTTGGGGTCCATTAAGAGGCTTGGGAAAATGGTCTAAGGAAATGTATATTAAGACAGTTCATTGAATACAGTGGGAGACATTTTAAAATGAACAAATATGGAATCTGACTGAACATTTTTAAAGAATTCATATTAGTAGGGGGAGAAATAATGGTGTCATAGGTAAATTAATTTGCACATATTTTTAAAGATGTGAAAGACTTGAGAAAATGGATGTTATTGCTATGAAATTACTTTTATTGATCTGTGCATCCATTTACTGATCTTGGCAGGTGGCAGCACCTGACTGGGCTGGGAAGCTAAACACTTGGGTGAGATACCTCTTGGAATACCAGAATTTTCAAGTCTACCAGAGTAGACTGAAAGTAAAATGAAAGCAACAACCACCAAGAAGAAGTATTGGCAAACCAATTCCATTTTATTGCCAAAAATGCTACATGAATGTATCCATGAACTTCCCAGGAACCAAGTTTGATTCAAAGGAATTGTTTCCCCCCTGCTTTCATTATTTTTATAAATAACTCAAGCGGAAAACATATTTAATCTTCCTTCTCCTATTTTCCTAGAACAACAACCCTGTGCGCTGAGAGAAAGTGACTGGCCCAGATTCACCCAGCCAGTTTTCATACCTAAGGCGGGACTAGAACTCACAGTCTCCTGATTTCTAGCCTGCTGCCTTAACCCCTAGACCAACCTGGCTCTAGACCAAACTAATAAATTTTACTTATCCCTATAGTGCCTTCCATAAACATACTGAGAAGAAAAGATCTCCTATATTGTAGTGGTTGCTACCTTTCTATAGAACCTAACTTATCTAGAATAACTTTGTCTTTGGGTAACCCTAAACAAAGTTTTGTTTCTATATATTGTGGGCATGTACTATATTTCTGTTATTTCCTTTCTAGGGGATTTCATAATAATAAGATTAGGTCAATACCTGAACAGGCATTTATGGGCAACCCATCACTTATAGCAATGTAAGTTATAAAAGTTTATTTTTTCTAGAAAATGTAATGTTAATTACTTTATTTCATTATAGATTAGATTTTTGAATATTTTATATGAATATGACAATGTTTTTCAAATTCTAGCTTCCTTTGGTAGATATTACATCTTTAATCTCAATCTACTCATTGGTGCCATCTGTCACTTTGTAGCTTTCTTATTCCTTGATCTGATAAGCCGCCCTGTACGTTTCTCAGCTCAGGTAACAATTAAAATGGTTACCTCTTGAAGTTCCAGTGAGGCATAATGAGCATATGCTTTCTGTGCCAGCCCACTGGTATGTATCTATGTAATACCCCTTTTACACTGGATTTGATTTTGAGAGCAAACACTTACAAAGATTCCTGATTTGGATGCAACATATTTTATTTTACCAAGCTAGAATGTGCATAAGCTTTTTGGTCCCCAGGTGGCATCTTTCTATTGGCTCTTCTCTTGCATTATTATCTGATTATTTGGATAATAACTGTTTATTTGGATTCATTCCAAACTAGTGTTCAGCATAGTCACCTTCATAGATAACTCATGCCACTTATGCTTTTAACATCTTAAAGCCATTCACGTTCTGGGCTAAAGTGTCATCTGTTTCATAGACAGTTTTACTTCTTGCCTCTCTTTTCTATTCCCATGGAGGCAAGAGAAATCCTTAAAGGATGCCTGGCAATAGTTTGGAAAAAAATAAAATTTAATCCAGACAAGATTGTGGACCTGAGGATAAGGAAGTCTTCAAGAGATGTTTGCCCAGCTTTACTTTAAAAAAAAAATTAGCACATATAATTTGGGAAGCAAATTCATAAACATAGATGCCATTGCTTTATGGTCATTAAAAGTAGTTCTGGAGATAAGCATTCAATAAAAAAAGTTGCAGGCAAGGTCATCAGTCCTTTTATGAGAATATCCAGTGAGTTGCATAAGAATTTGAAGAGTGTAAATCTTAGAGTGTTAAATCCATTTTCTTCACAGCCATTTTTATGATAATCCTATCCAGATTGTGGGAAAGTCTGCTTTTCAACATTTACCTGAACTCAGAACCTTGTATGTATTTAAACTTTTAAAAGCACTTTAGCTCCAAACAATTCCTTCACTCCTTAAACAACAACAACATTAATACATTGTGTTTGTAACTTTAGAACATTAAATGGTGCCACAGAGGTAACAGAATTTCTTGATTTGACTGGGACAACAAGCCTGGAAAGCTTGTAAGTATTGGATCTATAGTTTGTTTTCTTTGAAAACAGATGGCATTAACTATTTTAGAAGTCCAGTTGCTTTAAAGGTACTGTCCTTCAATCAGTAATTCATTTGTTACCTAGCGTGCCAAATCATTGATCCTAAATTTGTGATAGATTTGAGTCAGCTTGATCTTGTTGATACTATGACCTGATTTATATGCTTACTGGGTCAGTAGGCTTCTTTGTTATTGATTGGTTGACTGACTGAAAATCTACTGAGATAGGTTCCTGATTAATATGAGTTTATTTTATCCCTCAGTCTTACCCTGCACTTGTCCACTTAATACAGGTTACAGATAGGTTCAAATATGCTGTTCTTCAACACAGAGAGAATTGAGATTTCTTAATTATTATGAATTAGACCAACAGCACTGAATAGGAATTTCACTCAGGACTTCAGATTAGTCTGCTGTGGACTGAGTTATGTATTACTGTAATTATTAACTATTTGAAATTTCTTATCTTAATAGGACTCTTACAGGAGCCCAGATCACAACTCTTCCAGATTCAATTTGTGAGCAACTCCCTAATCTCCAAGTGCTGTAAGTATAATGGAGAGATTATATTAAATCATACCCCTGACTCAGAGAACACATACAGTGTTAGTTAGAGGGAGGTTTACAATTATCTAAATGAGAAATCATCAACAGGTAAGTATAATGAATTCAAGTTTTCAAAAAAGGAAAAGCTGGATTGAAATTAATTTACTATACTTTTATTACATTAATTGGATAAAGAGTCTAGAAACAATCTTCCCAAACTTTGTGCTCTCCAGATGTGACACACCACAACTCTTACAAATTCCCAGGGAATATTACCCATTTGGAGGGTGCAGGTTTAGGATGCTTTTTAAAAGGTGCTTTTAAAAATCAAGTTAATATTATAGGGTGGAAAGAAAATACATGATTGGATAATTCTAGTAGATCAAGATAAGCAAGCACTACACAAAAAGTTCAGATCAGAACTAACAAGCTGATTTATAAGTGTTTTTAAGGGGAAAATATTAAAAATGTGCACAATGATGATTTTACTGATTATTTAAATTTCTTCCTATTTTTCAAATCATTTTTAAAAGTCAACTGTTTTGGAAAGCACCATGGATGGCAGGAATATGACAGGAATGTCCAATTTTCTTCACCTTATGTCAAACCCAGTCTCCAAAATCTTTCTATAGGGACAGAATGCTATACTGAAATATTTTCTTTACTTGTTATTACATCTTTACATCAAAATAAAGGACACACTCTGTTCTTTCTTAAATATGATATTAATGAGTCCATATTTGCAACAAGATGTTCTTTACCTTTTTTTATAAGTTATATTTATTCAGTTTGAACGTTGAATAGTATTTCCAAGAGAGCTCTTTTCTTATAATGATTAACCAGTATATTGTTGTAACTTTCAAGAACTCTATAGAGGTAGTTTAATCACTACCAAAAATAATCATTCTGTCTGATTCTTTGTGAATCGGCCAACTCTATTTCCCGTTTACCATTACATCATGATAAATGTATCTGGTATTAGTCTGCCCAGCCAACATTCTAGCAACATTAATTATAACATACACCCATAGTATGTTACAAAGTAGCCAGAATTTCTGAGAAAAGAAAGTACTTAATTTACTGGAGCTACATTATTTATTGTTAGCCAGATGTCTCTGCATTACTGAAACACCTCTTTGTGAATACCAAATGGCTTAAAACTAAGATGATTTAATATATATATATAT